GGTTGTATCAGTGATGAAGATGAAACATGATAGAGATGAAATGTGATGTAGCTGAGACATGATATAGGTGAGACATGATAGATATGAAATAGTGATGTAGGTGAAACACATCAAGTGATAGGATCAGTTGTATAGTACAGGGTCAACGATGAATAGTTAGAAAAAGAAAAAGAACCCCTCTCCAATGCTGTATCAAACACAGCAAATGGAGTAGCAGAGTGTAAAACCAGAATAGATGGTCACAAGCCTGAAGAGTTTAAAAATGTCATGTGTACACATGATATGTGGCTGAGCAAATGTGGCTGAAACATTTGCTGGTGGGATAAAGTCCCTCTCCTCCCAGAGATCAGATGGGCAGGAGCCTGCGGTTTTGCTCTTTTTGCTCTTGGTCTCGTGTTCAACCCATCACGTCAGCAACGACAAAATGTACATATACAATAGAGTACGTCCCATGAATTTAGTTCGCTGCATACATCTAACACTAACAGCACACACTCAAAATGCGTAAGAGACGTTGACGAATTCACGCCCGTCGTGGTTCCACTAGATTAAAATCAGCCTATTCATGGTAACCACATATTTTGCTACAGTCGATGAGGACCAGCGACCGGAAAGACCATTCACTCTGAATTGCTCAACCCTGTCTGCCTATTTGGCCGCTAAGTATGCTCTCGCGGAAAAGTTGTTGAATGCGCTGAAGATCTTGTGTGTGAAGGAAAGAAACTTCTTCATACAAGGGCAAGTCGGCACCTTCACGCTGAACGTTGAGAGCACGAACAGCTTTGAGAAAAGTTGCATGAACCCGATAGCTCTCCCTTGCCATTTCGATCGGCGGGATGGCGGGCGCAACCAGATTCATACCAACCGCGAGGCCGAAAAGGAAGGTTTTAAGGTCATGAACAGACTGGATAAATTGAATTTTCGTGAGGACCGTCTCAGTAAGCGCGATAACTACAAATGTGCGCCGCACCTCTATAATGGCCAGGCCCCGGTAGATTAGCTTCCCAAATTTGGGATCGATTTTGCTGATCTATGCCGTCTCAGCATGGGAGCTAGAGCAAGCATTCAGAGGATGTACCTGATCGATAAGCCCGACGGCATCGAAAGGGGAGTGCATCTCCTGTTCATCTTGGATGAGTTCCTGGTTTTGCACGTCGCCATCCTTCGGTAAGTGATCACTTCCTTCGCCCTCGCCGTCGGGGACTAGGATGTGTTCTTTATGATAAACATTACTCGCCTCGGAAATGAGTGCATGCGCTCACCTTGAGAAATATGCTTGAGCATTGGCTGCTGCACATCAGAGCCGCCGGCGGATGCGCTTTCAGAAATGAAGGGTCGTGCATCGGTAATAGCATCCTGGAGGTAGAGCATGAGCTGAGACTGCCAAGCAAACAAGAAAGCTCGCACCTTGATATTGGGCTGCAGAGTGTTACAGCTGCGAGTGAGTGCGCCAGGGCTGCTGGGGGTACGATGCTCGTTATTGGACATAATGGGAGGATGAGGAGTGGTGAGGGGCATGAAGACGGCGAGGACAAAGTTATAAAAGCTGTTCCGCAAGCTCGCATCCTGGATGAATCGCCCAAAACGATATGCAGGAGACCAAGGAGCGCTCGAGAAGAGCGGCGACGATCATCCACTTGCCAACGACAACCTTTCATTTGTACATGGATATCAGCAGCGCGATTGACAGTAGTCGGCGAGTTCAAGGTGGACTTGCAGCACGGTGAGACAGTACCGGTAATGTAGGCCCTGGAGCAGCAGTGATACCAGCCTCTCATCTTGTCCTTGGGTATATCGATCTAAGGATGCGCTCGAATGATTCGAGCTTACAAGTGAATCAAATGCCAGCTAGTGACAGCGCCCAATGGCGATACAGAACCAGCCTGCACGTGAGCTACCAAAGCAAAAGGAACTATTTGTACCTCTGGAATCTTGGCGTAGCGACAAGTCTCGTGATATTCCCCAGATGTAAACCATTCGATTCGCACACCTGTACTGTGTACATCGGCTTTGCTCCTTGCGGGTAATGAAAGCAACTGCGATTTTTCACCCGCAGTTTCGTTGATTTCTAAGGTGTTAAGCAAACACTAATGCATTATTGTGAGTCTAATTTTGGTAACCCGTCAATGTACCCAGCGGTGAGGTCGAAGAATGTCCACAATAGTCCATGAGTCGTGATACTCCTCACCGCACTTACCCCCAGACCTCGATATAGTCTGGCAAGTCCTAAAAGTATGGGTTTCGGTGCATTCGGGTCAGGTCCTGAGGTCTCGAGTGTGACCGAGCGCAAGGATTAAGTAAACGGAAAGGCCTACCGCGAATCAATCGATGGAGAGTCTCCAATGCAGTCCTGCTACGCTCTCCGGCCAATGCCCGCTGCTGAACCTTAGTTTTCACCCTGTATGCATAAATATCAGGATTGCGAAGAGAGACACCTCCTGTATCACGCACACATCAAGGGGATAAATCAATGCCCAGGAGGTCACACCCGCTAAGGACCCGCACATGAATGGGACCATGGAAGGATGCAGTGGCATCCAGGATGGCGTCGGACCTTGTTCACCCGACGGCAGTCGTCCCATAAGATGTCGCATTCCGTCATATTCAAAAAAATATAGACCAGTGCCGAGGGTATCCCGAACTACACGCTATCAGCGGCGAGGGTCATAGGTAGCAATGTGCATCGCCACTCACCGAAATGAAGGCGGAAACCCAGGTATAGACCTCCGAGGCCATACGTCCGGAAGATGTCTCGGACAGCCTCAAACGTTCCTGGCGCTTTCAATATCCGAAGCCCTTTGCTAGCTGCGATGGAATACTCTAGTTGTCGTCGAACCTAGATTGGGATATAAACCTTCTGACGCCTCTGTCGGACGCGAATACGCATGCCGACCGACCTTCACCAGTTCAAACGCTGTGAAACCTGTAAGGTGTCATAAATAGAAAGTGCTGACGCAGCACTCACGCGCACTCCCAAACGATATCAGCGATCCAGATAGAGCGCCACTGAGTAGCGGGTTTAGTAAATGAATCGATTATTATGAAAAAGGAGGGAGGCACTTGCCCTATGCCACCAGTAGAGGCTATAGCGAACGTGTTTCGCTCCAACATGTGGTGATCACGAAAGTACTCTTTCGTACGCGTGTAGATTGTGAAGGAGGCGGCACCTAACGACGCGTAAGTGTGCGTGTAGGGTACCACATCACGGGATGTACGCACGGACGAAAGATATGGTCATCAATGGTATCCATAGGCCACGGTAAAATCCAACTATGCCCTCTTCTCGGTAGACTTGTAGTGCGAGTGTAGTGACAGTAATGGGCGTGCGTATCGTCTGTAGTCTAGACTTGATGGAGTCCAGCTGAGTGGACACAGGAGAGCACATTTTCAGCCCGCATATATCCAGTCGAATGAGGTAGCAACTGACTGGATATCCAGCGAACGTCGAGATGTAGCTCGCAGAGAGGGCACAGACGACCGCCTTGTTACCTGGAGGTAGCGTAGTCGATGAGATGATTGCAAATGCAGAGTGAGATCCATACTTCGGAGAGACTCATTGAGTGTAGCCGAGTCAAACAAGTAGCCCAGTGGCCTACAATCCTCCCAATATCAGTATTGGTTATAAATTTCAAGACTATACGTTACGGCACCTTTTCTCACTCATAGGAAGCAGTCACCGGGCCCGTGAGAGTCCAGTTTCGTGCGTTAGCACGAGCAATGTGAGTCGTATTCAGCCCAAGGCGAGCGGCAAGAAGCTCCCGGAGCACAGAGCTTTGGAAGGAGTGCGTTCTCGATGCGGCTTGGTGTCGATACACAGTTCCGGTCTGGGGAGGATGTCCCAGCATGAAGGATCGGAACAGACCACGAGCGCCCAAGTGCGCGGGAACGTGACGGATAAGCGCCGTCCCGCCACCTGGCGCCAAGCGAATGTAGTAGTACCGACCTTGGGGAGGGAGGTAAATTTGGTAACGATACATTCTTAAGTAGAAGTTGCGGCAAAATCTCTACAAGACTTATGCACCTAGTAAACCTAGGAGAATATGCATACCGGAAATAAGGGGTCATCGCCATGTATCCTCCTCAAACCAACTAACACCACCAAAAAACTGCTTACACCTGCGATCGATGTGTGCACTACGACGCATACAAACTTGTGGGAATTTAACCGGATTGTCGCTTTAGAGACTAGCCGTACACGATGGAAGATCGTGGAAAGACGGGCCGTAGCTCAAGAATGTAGCTTAGAATCCACCAACCCTCTTCTTAGCCACCACTTTCTTTTTTGTGTTCCCTGGTCTCCCACCATAAGGTCCGGGAAGTACTTGTGTGCTAGGCATTTGCTGCGATGATGCGTCAACCCCCCAACGATCGCGGAGAGGTTGGCTACCACTGTCAGGAAAAAGCTGACTCTCGTCGAATACGTATTCTTGCGATCGGGCAATATCAAGCGTTCGTCGTGGAGCCGGGGCCGAGGGCTGGCTAGTGATGATAGCTGGCGGGGCCAACGCGAGGGCTGGGACGATAGTCGGTGGCCGCTGCGGTTGCATCGAGGGCTGGGTCATGCCTTGGCTGGAAGGGTTGACAGGCATTCCTTTCATACGAAGATGAATCGTCGCTGCATGTGTAACGGTGTCAGCATCATATGGGTCATCGTAGACATATTCTTGGGGGTCCGAGCCAACCTCCCACTCCTTCACTAGCAAACGAACACCAAGAGGCCATGAACCTCCGCCTAATGATACCGCATTGACAGGCTCATCTTTGTTGTAGTGATTTGACTTGGATGTGGAATGCAGGAAGCCGAATTGGACGGGAGGGGGCTCCAAATCCTTCAGCGACATGGCCTCAGTTGCACGAGACATTGTTTCAACCATGTCGTCTAGAATCGAGCTTTGCGGTTGCTGAACGCGTCGTGAGAAAAATATATCCGATGATAGTGAAAGATCAAGGACTAGCTGCTCGCGTGCTTCAGTATCCCTACGAAATGACTGGGCTGGTCGCTCCGAATCAGATACCAAATCGAAGCGACATAGATTATCAATCATTCTTGCGGCAGAAACGTCCATGTCAGGGATAAAGCGACGCAAAAATGTTGTAATATTCATATGCCAAGGCGCCTGTTGAGTCATCTGTTTGAGGGGAATACGATCCTGCATCAAGGCACGGTAACCTCTGACTGAGTTAAGGGCACTCTCTGTGAAGACTTCGCTTCTGGAGGCATTGACCGGCTCTGGACCAGAACGATATGCGACATCAAATCTATACAACTTGAGTTGACTATTGTCTCCGGAACAGGACGTGGAGTACATACGTTGTTAGCATGCTGTCTATAGATTCGTCTGATTCTTGCCAAAACAATGGCATCCTATCCAGTAAATTGTAAACCACCTCGGGATCTTCAGGCAGTTCTTCGTATTTGTCCAGCTGGAATATGTCTACATTAAAGCAGTGTAAGCGATATTGATAAGGCAAGTCAAAAATCCAAACTGACTGCCATAGGCGGCTTGCAAATTAATTTCGCTTAAGCTACGCATACCCAAAGGTCCGACATCTAGGTTTGAGGATCTGCCTTGATCCTGCAACAGTAGCATCTCTTCAGACCAGGCCGGCACATGTCGCTCTTCTCGAGAGAACGGGGTCGACAGGTCAGCAGATGAGTGCAAATCCAGAATATGGACAGCGCCAGATTCAGAAAGCTGCAGAATACTGATATTTCCATCACTTTTATACAGCGGATGCTGAAGAAAACTATGGCCGTGATTGCCCGAGTTTGAAGATTGAATAGGTGGTACAGAGTATGCGGGAACGTTGAGGCGTATTGCATCACCACGCGAAACGTCATATACAGTCACGAGGCTGTTACGATGAGATGTGAGGAAGGTGATGGGTGCTATAGAATGTTGAGTCGTTTGACTGCATTCAATATGATTGATTGGTACTCACTATTTGAAACAATTCGTGTCCGAACAGACAATGTGCGATCAGCACCTCTACTATGCGCTATCCCAAACACCGGTCTTTTAGTATTCCGCTCGTCAACCCAAAGTATTTCCTCAGTAGTAGCTAGACGAATCATACTATCCTTCTTCAAACGTTCGGCAGAGATCAGCATTTCCCCAGGGCGCCGTGGCTTGTGCAACATTATGCCATCGTCTTGCGTCTACAAATTTTTAAAAGATAAAATGACAATCCGACCTCCGAATGCAGAAAAAAGCGTACCCGAAAATCAAGGCATTTCGCAACCCACGGAGATAAAAGCAGACAATTATTCTCGTCATCCCATGGCGCGATCTTCCATGTCCTATTTTCGGATAAGACATCAGATGAAGGGCTATGATATAGCAACTGGCTAGAAGAACCATGAGTGTAGGCAACGATGAAGATGAATGCGATCGAGCTCACATGAATTTATCGCCATAAGGAGCGCTACACCTATAAATTGCACCCGTGTCGTTGACCAATAATGCGAGGGTTCGCGTTGAAGCTGGCAGAGTCATATCCACAACCCGCCGGTTATCTACATCCATTCGCAAAATTTGAACTATCTCTGTGGTCTTCATGACAAAAGGACGCGAGGAAGTAGGCTTTACTGTGAGAAGACTAGTCGAAGCTAACGTCCTGACCCCAATAATAGTGTCTAGAGCATCCTCGGGTCAGTTCATATGGATGAATGACACAGGCAAGTTTTTACCTATCGTAGCTTCACCTTCTTGACTTAACGGAACTGTTGTCCGAATCTGCTCAATAGGAGTCTGGAAAGTCCAGGAAGGCTTCCAAGATGCGTTAAGTTCAACAAATTCGCCTCGGGAAAGAAATAAAGGCGAAATGTCTATGCAAATTCAAAAAAAGAGCTATTGGAAGCGAGAGGACTACTCACTTAAATCATTATACGTTGCGCCCATGGGGAAGGCGAGATACTGTGCATTTTCGCGTGTCCCGTAGAAACAAGGAAATGCTTCTATCATGCTACCGACATAGGGATTGAATTTGTCAAGGGCTCGCATTGCCCGAGTATCTTCTATGATCTCATCTCGAATAATATCGGCTGATATGTCAATGTCCGGGTAGTATGTACGGATGAATCGCGCCTGTCAGCTATAAATATGAGTGCAATGCAGGGCCATGATGTACGGTACGCACCCCTTGCTCCGCACGCTGTAATACAGAGGCTGTAGCGTGATGTGAGGAACGCCAGTGATTCTGAGGGAAAGCTGTGATTGATTCGCGTTTGGGAATGAGTCTGCGACCTGTTCAAGTGAGTATACAAATACCGAAGTCCCAAAAATCGCGGAAGCATGCCTGCATCATTTCCAGCGAGTGTTGTCCATTCTAGCCGGTCCTCTCTATCTCGCAGCGTCACCGCACTCAAAGATCCGCTCTCAATAAGAGGATAAATCCATGGTTCACCACGCTCTTTGGTTTTGCTCTGGCTCTTGCGTTGGTCCTTGATAGTTTCCTGGGGCTTCTCTCTGCTATCCGCGGGCCAACAGTCCATTCCATTGGTTTCAATAGAACAAAAGAGATCTGCACGTATTGAGGTGTTGAAGAGAATTATGGCGGTGGCAGAAGTCCGGGACCCGCCAAATCCCAGAAATCCCGACGCGTAGCCGCCCGCCGCCACTCTTCATCCAGCAGCATGTTAAGACTCTGGGCCCTCGGCCAACGGCCACGTATTTTCTCATGTAGATCATTGCATACGACGACTGTGAACAACGCAGCTGCAGCGTCTGACACTACGTCCAGCTCGGCGCCGGAATGGACACCCACATCTATACGCACAGGACTCATCGCCCGGAAACGCGGTATGACAGTAATGTGGGATGACCATGGTGCAAGGTTTCCTGTCACAGTTCTTCAGGTGACATTTTATATCGATGACGCTTCAATGTCCCCTTAAACGTGTCATGTAGTTAGAGAACTGCCAAGTCACAGCGAACATTCAGACAGTGCGCAAGGACCAATCCGAATACCATGCTGTTCAAGTTGCTGCCTCAGACAAACGCGAAAAAACCACCACCAAGCAAATGTTGGGTCACTTCAAGAAGGCTGGAGTGCCTCCGAAACGTATAGTAAAGGAGTTTCCTGTGACGCCTGACGCGCACGTTCCAGTCGGTTGGTCTTTCTTGTTAGGCAGTTGCGATCTCACTCATAATCATCTTAGGGACCACACTCTCTGCGATTCACTTCGTTCCTGGCCAATTCGTGGATGTCATCGCGAACTCGTACGTGTCATAGTTTCACCATACTAATGTCCATCTCAATTTCGCCCCACAGCATTGGCAAGGGGTTTCAAGGGACAATGAAGCGGTGGAATTTCAAGGGTCTCCGTGCCAGTCACGGTGTCTCTGTCTCACATCGCTCTGCTGGAGCCATTGGTGCTCATCAGGTGCCAAGGCATGCTGTCTATCGATTTGCTGCATATTGACGCCTTAGTAGGATCCTGGTCGCGTATGGCCAGGTAAGAAGATGGCAGGTCGACTGGGGGGCGAGCGCACGACGACACAGAATCTCGCGGTCGTACGCATTGACAGCTCCCTTGATCTCATTTTTGTGCGCGGGTGCGTACCTGGTGTTGACGACGCGCATGTGATGGTGCGGGACGCAAAGAAAAAGATGACAAGTGTAGCCCAAGTGCAACACGCGAAGGGCGAGACCGATAAGGTGCTTCCCAAGGGTATCGACATAATGCCTTTTCCCGCCGGAACGAGGGAGATGGCCGCACAGCTTCCTCCAATCATTCAAGCTCCCACCCATCGGAGAAGTCCATTCATTCCTAGATCATGAGCCATACTATTGTTTAGCTTGCTGGGACACCGTGCGCGCATGAGAATGTTAGCTACATAATACAGAAGTAGTCGTTTCCCGGACTGTTTCACCGTGCGGGCTGCGATATAGACCGAGCCCGACGTTGATATAGCGGAGCAAAGCTGACGAGCCTTGAATGAATTCATTGACCGCGAGGGCGTCTGGGTCGAGGTCTGCCGCTCGAGTCTCTGGTCGCGCACCTTCCTGCAGGTTGCCATTCGCCACTGGCCAGTTATTTACCAACCGACGACACTGACAAGAACGTTCTTTCTGTCTCTCATTAATGGCGAACGGTCGGCTGCTCGTCCAGATTGCGTCGTATAACACAAATCTCCAGGGCGACAGCGGCCTGCCACAAGACCTCGTTGACTGGCTTGCACCTACTCTTCAGGCCTCCCGCGCCCGTCAGTCCGAACGCCGTCCTTTGGATATTGTGGCCGTAGGCTTCCAAGAATTAGTACCTCTGCATCTTGGACGTAAGTATTTAGGTTTACCTCGTTACCGACTAATACATCTCCTGTGCGTTCCTTCAGTTGCGGGGCTCTCAGGCCCAGTAGTCGACAGCCGTGATGAACTTATCTTGTCTCAAATTGAGGCGCACGCTCCGAACAAGGAGCGGTACTCGCTGATTGCGAAGGTTGTTAACGTCGGCGTTGCACTGCTCGTCTATGGACGCGATGAAGGTGTCGCGCGTCGCGTGTGCGACGTGCAGACACAGTGGACGGGTTGCGGCCCTGCGTACATGGGTAACAAGGGCGCGGTCGGAGTGCGATTTCGGGTCGCCCACCAAGACAGTGGAGTGGGGGAGGTCTATACGTGCGTCCACTATCCCCGGCACGCGTGTGTTGTCCCAGTGTAGACGACGTTCCGGCTAGATTCGTCTGTGCACATCTCACCGCACATGGGCACAAGTTAGCCCAGCGCGTCCACGACTATCATCATATTGTTGGGACGCTTCTATTTCCGCCACTCCCAGGAACATCCTCCACGAAGCCCACGACTATCTACTCGACGTCGCACCTCTTCTTTTTCGGAGACCTCAATTTCCGTCTTGCGATACCTCCCGGCCACCCAGCTTCGTCGTTGTCGCGCACCGAGTTCGCACGCAAATTGACCAGCGAGGCCCAGCGACTGGCTTTGAAAGAGTTCGACCAGTTATATCAAGAGCGTGATATCAAGTTCAACATATTCGCCTCTCTGCGCGAGGCCGACTTTTGGAAATTTATCTGCAGCTACAAGTACAAGCTAGGCGAGACAGTCATGTTTGAGTGGGTCTTGTTACTACACTCTACGTTGGCGAGGCACTGATAGCTCGTGGCAGTTTCAAACGTTTACCAGCTTGGACAGACCGGATTATGTACACGAGCTACGCGGATTCGCCGGACACGCCCCGCGAGTCCACAATCTCCAACCTTCTCTATACTATTATACCCTCATATACCACTTCAGATCATGTAAGCTTTTCAGCAATGCCTTTATTTTCAATGCCCCTCATCGTTTACTTCTAGAAGCCTATAGTGTCTCTCCTCCAGCTGCCCCCATCCACTTTCGCTCCGAATGCAACCACGCCACCTGTCCTACACCTTCCCGCTACCTATAAACCCCAACCTGACCGCCTCGCTATACCCAAGAGATATATCGGGCGTATTATCGGACGCTTCATTGGCTATTGCTGGTGCCTCCTCGTACTTGTCGGGGCAGGTTCGTTGGGTCTCGGTGTTGCCAATTCCATTATCGGATTAGGCATATGGGGCTGGTGGAAGTCTCGCTGGTTTGCCTCTGGCACACCACGACGAACCTGAGAAGCTGGAACAACCCGTCTGTTTTTCTGCGTGGATATGTGTACATCATGTATATTGACCGTGTCTAAGTGCCGTATATATAAGTGATGTATCTGTCACAAATGCTGGCGTATACACCGAAAAATAACCTCAATGTGGCAGATCGAGACGAGTGCCCAGAAATAAGACGAGAAGAGTCTGGAATGCAAGATAAATATATACAGCCACAAACGGTATTCATCAACCGAGTATTGGGCGAGCCACCTTGGCATCTGGCTTAGTTCCACGATCCTCTTCGTCATCAACGACAACGAGAACCTCTTCCACATCATCGACAGGCTCCTCGCCCGGTGCTATAGCATCCTCTGGTCCCTGATGCTCTGAGTCGTGTTGCATGCCGGAAGGCAGACGGATGAAGCTGAGCATGATGAACGAGAGGGCAAACAAGCCTGCCGAGACAAAGAAAATGGCTCTCGGGAATATCGCGACCGTCTGCATAAAGGTCATCCCATAGAGGAATGGCCCGAGGACCTGCGAACTGTGGACACACATATCAGACCAACATTTTACGCTGTCATGTCTTCGTAGGCACTCACCCGATCACTTGAACTACACCGAGGGCACCGAAAAGCTTTCCAAGCTCCTGCCCGCCCTTCTTCGTGTACAACGCCGACGCGACGCTGTTAATCGCAGGACCAATGCCCGAGCCAAACGCGCCCAACGCCGAAAAGGCGGTGAAAATTGCGCCGTTCGGTGCCGCAGCCATGAGTAAGTTTGCGAGAAATTCTACACCAAGCGAGGCACATGCAATAGCGATGTCAAGTGATAGAGAATGACGTTGAGAGCGAGGCGTGCTTGCGGGTGGAGTAGGCGTTCCTCGCGCGGGGGAGGTTTCCGAGGGTTGCAGGGGCTCATCCGGTTCCACATGTAGCTGGATAGCGGGCGATTTAGGTTGGGACAGTTTGATAATAACTGTATCACGGAATATACATCAATTAGGACATATAAGTCTTGAATAACACAACGATAAAGCGTACCGGGCAGAAGGATAGTGAGATGAAAAGCGCGGGCCGCACCGACAATACTTACCCAGTAACCGAGCTGAATTTTGCGTTCGCTTTTAAATTTACATAAACTCTTCTAGCAGGCAACACGTACCTGCTCAGATGTCCAGCCAAAAGTGGCTACCGCGTACTGCATCTTCGTAGTGATGGAGCCCTGAACGTGAGGTCAGCGAGCCGCTCCGACCCTATTCACAGCCACTTACTACGACTATCACAATAAAACCATATCCAATAGCAAGAAGTACCAAATTCCAATCTCTCTTCCTCTTCAATGGATCACTTCCAGCCGCCGATGGCAGCAAAAGCGCAAGTGGGGTCAAGAAACCGAACACCCTGCTAAGCCAAACTAAGAACCCGCCTCTGGCGCGAGCATGTTTCACTTGTTCGAGTTCTTTGGTGCGCAACTTGCGGGATTGGGTCATCTGGGAGGGCGAGAGGGACTCGGGAATGACGAACCAGACGAGGCATGAAGCGAATATGTGCAAAGAGATAGCAACATAAAATACCCAGAGGGGGTGCCCAGTGTAACTGACAATAATGCTGCCTAAAGTTGGCCCTATGCTCATGCCCGTGAACAGTAGGCCGAGCATGAGTGAAAACGTGCGCGAGCTGAAGCAGACAGTACTTTAGACAAGGACCACTCTCTGAGGGAACGTCTCGACCTACCGAGCCGCAGGTGCCGTGCAATCTGCCATGTATGCGTTGATTGTAGCAGAGGTAGTAGATACCCCTACGAAGAAGAAATGTTACCCATGACTAATGTGAGCTAGCACCTCTCGGCGGACGCACCACCGAGTGCCCCTTCTAGCATAGGTCCGACAAGTATGAACCAAACACCCCCCGGAAGCACTTGCCAATACTTGGCTACCAGTATGAATGTAAAATCCGAGACAAGCTGGCCTATCGCAACGATGCCTATGATTGTGGTGCGGCCGCGACGATCAGAAAGCTACGTACAAGAACCACGTTTAACAAATTATAAGAATTGATATACACTTTGAGGATGTGATGTCACGTACTGCGCCCCACCAAGCTGTTGTCAGGCAACTGAGGAACCCCATCGTACTGAGAATGGTAAGAGTGAGTTTCGAAACAGCCTGTTGCACGACAGGGTCTGATGCGCAGAGCTCGAATATCTCATCTGAAATCTCGCACAATCAAGATGGGGTATTGGATCTACACGAAGAATGCTCGTACCATCCGTAGGTCTGGCAAAATTCCCTGTCGGTGCAAAGAATACCATATCGAGAGGCCCCTCTACATCCCTACCAGCGGAATACTCCGGCCTGTAAGCCTCGCAGACCAGTCGAGTGAGAATATCGACTCTGGGCGCTAGAGTGGACGACATCGCGATAGCAGACAGTGGCACCAGGAAGATAAACCTATGCAAAGTACTTTAGCGAAGGCATTGGTAAGATGAGTTGCATAGACTTGCCATAGGGGGGAGGGACGCCTCCACCAGGGGAGGCTCTGCCTCCAGTGTGCAAGTGCGTCCGGGGAAAAGACATTCTCGTCATCTGATGAGCCAATACTTTCCACCTCGATGCGCGTGTCCTCGGAAGGGTGCGCATGGGGATGCACAAACTCGCGCAAGAGTTCGGCCACCTCTTCGTCCACCAGCCCTTCAGGATTGACCACGTCCAGCGCGTGAAGATACGGGGTGGACGATGGGGAAGGATTGCGCGATCCGTGGGGCCGTCTGGACTGGAATGTCGCGTCGACCTCGACGTCCGGGCGAAGACGCGAGCGGGGACTAGGGCTTAGAGACATCTTCCGCGGGCTCTGTGTGTCCGCTTGCGGGGGAGCAAAGCAAGACTGGCGATTGCGGGCATACAGGGGAGAATATGTACTTGGCAGGCTACAGATCAAGCCATGCGGATGGCGTCAGCTATGAGATAGGCAAACTGACTTCTCGGCGCTGCGAGCCTCGAGGCACTTCCGCAGTGGGGCGTCTCGCACTCGCCGCTCACATCATGGTTACAACGTTCCCCGCAATCTGTTATTTTATTGACTTCATTTAACGTTAACTTCGCCGTGCCATGCTGCCAAACCCATTAACCAGCCACCTATACGTCCCTCTATGGCAGACTCGGAGGCAGTCTGCGTGGAACCACCGTCTCACCGTCACTGTTCTGGCGCTCGAGCTTCAAGGGCCATCATTGGCGCTCGCAAATTAATATTGAATATCATATCAGCGTGCGTATGAAAGACCACGGGCCATCGGCATATCTTCAAACTTGAGCTCAGCATTCACGACCCACACCCTAGGTTCCTAAATTTCAAGGAGGTTCATGCATAACATAGGCCATACTTTGCCATTACTCGGCCATGGTTTTTTCATCGAATCCTGAGAAACGGGCCGCTGACACGCTGTCCAATCGAAGTTTTCCAGTGCCGCAGCACAGAACATTGCTAAGGCAGGCTGCGGACGCTTGAATGCATGTTTCTCATGTCCAGAATATATCTGTAAGAATATCCGCAGCGTTAGCAAATCCCGCACACGTACTGGCACGACGATATCAACGTGGTGCCCACCTACACATAGTACAACACGGAGTCCGCTCATACACAACTTCCGAGGCAAAGCATGACCTTTGCAGAATTTTAGTCTGTCAACGTCTCAACGTCAGCAAGCCGTTCCCCGTACGCGGCCAGTGGCCGATGCCATCTCCGGAATGCCGGGCAGTCTATCCGGTCAAAAGACAGCGGGTCCAAGGACTCGGAACAGCAATTGACCAGCACCCTGCCAGCACCGATCAATTTGTTGATCCTATGATCGTGGAACCACTCGCAGTCCGTAGTCCGCAGTGTATCAAATCTGTTTTGTGAGATAATCATATAGCGATGAAGTGCATGTTGTAAAGCCGAATATCACTGTACAACGATGGACGAGTCATGGAAGATCCTCTCCTGATTATCATCTTCTCCCACGCCTATTTGTGCCTTGCTCTCCAAGCAAAGGGGTATGTTCCAGAGCGGACATATCTTCTAATCCACGATGCCTTGATCCCAGGTTTTCCGTATCGTCTACGTGCGAAATTCGAGGCTCCTGTAACCGAATGGGCACGAGTAATAGGAAGGCTATGGTTAATGCGACTACAGAGACGATGAAAATGGCTGTCGGCACCGTCGCGACGGTCTTCATATAAGTCACGCCGTACAAGAATGGCCCCAGTACCTGTGAACTATAGAGCGACTCGATCACCATCTGTACAACATCAATGGTGAAACGGATAACGTACCTGATCGTTTGCACAACTCCTAGGGCACCGAATAACTTGCCAAGCTCCTTGCCACCATTCTGCGTGTATAAGGCCGACGCAACGCTATTGATCGCAGGAGAGAATCCAATGCCCAGAGAGCTTATGACCGAATACGCAGTGAAGAGGTAGCCGTTGGGTGCGGACGCCATCAGGACAAAGCCGATGATTTCAATAAATATAGATACCCTTGCGAGCGTTAAATCAAATGTAGGGACGTGTGGTGTCGCGGATGTTGGAGAAAACTTCACCTGCGATGGCGTGCGAGAGGAACTGGTGTCAGAATCCGAGCGACGTGGGTCGTTATCTCCGTGAGGAAGCTGGGCACCCGATTTTGGCTGGAACAGCTTGGCTATCACTATATGTAGGGAGTGAGATCCAGTTCAGTTCTGATGATGACCAACGCACGAGGTAGAAAAAGAGTCAAGTGAATTGCGCGAGTCGCGCTCAGTATACTTGTGAAATAGCCAAGCTGGTAAAGTATCAGCCGTTGTGCGTACGATGTCGGGATCGAACATCGTACCTGTTGTGAGCCCCATCCAAAAGCCAGTGACATGTACTGGTATTCGTAAGTAATATCTCCCTGAGTTTCATCTTAGCACCCCAAAGACACAGTTCGTCGACGCACGCACCCTCAAGGCAATTCCAAATCCATAAGCCGCTGCTAACAATGGAAGACCCCAATCCCTCCTTCGGCTCCCAGAATCAGGCTCTCGAGCACCCCCGGGAAGCAAGAGAGCGAGCGGCCGCAAAAAGCCAAACAGCCAATCGAACCACGCGAAGGGCGAAAATTTGACCTGCGTGGAGCTGATAAATCCCTGCGACTCCTTGTATATTTTACGCGACTCGGCCATCGAGGATGCTGTAAGTGATTCTGGGACTACACCACACACAACGAGCACGTATATGAGGTACAAGAATGAGGCAGCATAGAAGACAGATATAGGATCGGTAGTCGCGCCAATAAGCATACTGCCGAGGGTGGGCCCGACTGCAAATCCGACAAAGACGAGGCCTAGGAAAAGGCTGAAGAAACGAGATCTAGATACGGGTTAGAAGCAGTGGTTTGGGCATAGGGATGACCATGAATTCACCGTGCCGTTGGCTCTGTGCAGTCAGAGATGTATGCATGGATAGTTGCTGATACGGCGTTCAACCCTGAAGAACATACGTGAGGAATCGGCGACTGAGGCGTGAATAGTGCATACCTCCAGTGACACCCGATATTGTCGAGGCGACAACCAGAAGCCAGTAGCCTCCTGGTAAGAACTTAGAGAACTTGAAGACGAAGACCATGATTACTTGCTCGATGAAAAGGCCGGAGATTGCCCAGCCGAGCACCTTGATTCGGCCATGGCGATCTGAAAGCTGGAAAGGAAGAATAAAAATAGTCTATCGGTGAAGTAGTTTTAAAAGGTAAGGTAAGGATATAAGCGTACCGAACCCCACCACGCCGTCGTCAGGCACCCAAGTACGCCCGTAGAGATTGCCATTGCGAGTGATAGCTTGGCAACCTCGGCTTGAATAATAGGGTCGGAGGAGCAAAGTTTCCATCTATCTGAGGCTATTGCAATTGAGTGGATGTGCGAGAGCAACCATGATTACATACCAGGAGAAGAAAATGTACCGTGATCGACAGCACGAATGGGCTTATATGCGTCGCATACGAGCTGGATGAAGATTTCTACACGAGGTGCCTGTGTCGCAGCTCTTGCAATGGTAGCAAACGGAATTATGCATATGAACCTATTCCATGATTGGTAAAATATCGGGAAGTGCTGAACACAGTGACTTACCACCATGGCGATGGCTTTCTCCACCAACGTCTTTCCGCGATCCTCTCGGTCGCGTCGTCTTCTTGCGCTCTGAGAATATCCTCCTCCTGCAAGTCAATCTCCTCCTCGTCGCGCAAATCCCCTCCCAAAGAAAGTTCTGCAGCGATAGATTCGTCAGGATGAATGAATATATCGGCTTCCGTCGCCAAATCCTGAGGAAATGGGCTGTGCGATCCTCGAGGACGAGACTGGACGCGTAGGCTACGGCCTCTGGACTGTTCCCTTGGCCGAGACATAGTACCTGCTGCACCTTATGATAGAGGGTGATACGAGAGTGAGCTTAAAAGGCTCGACGCAATCCCTAAAGACCTTGGCGACTGGTCCCATTTGGGTCCCATGATAAGGATTACCATGATTGTGACAGTCTCAACACAATATGATAACGGCAAGGTTTGCGAGGGATCATAGCACACCCAGTCAAGTATCCAGGCAAGGATATAGAATTACCGTAAGCATTGAAAGGCCGGCCAGTCTTGTACCAGTGTGAATCCTGAGGTGTCCACGAAAAGAAGCTATCAATCCCATCTAGGCGATCAGCCACTTGCCCTCATCTTCGAGGCATATAATCCGCAAACATGGTAAATTCTTTGCAGGCCATGCATTCGTCATGAACATTCCCGCTGACGTGACAATTGTTCAGTCCCATACTGTCGACATCCTCCCAGAGCTCAAGACGTCCCTCCGCAAGTTCAGATTCGCTCGTCGCAATGCCGGGAGCGCAGCCATGATCGTCAAGATTAACAAACAAAAGCTCATTATGGAGGAGGTCGAGCAGTTCGACAATATCAGTATCGAGGATCTAGTCGAAGGTGCTTGATGTTTGATTGGCCTAATGTCCACCGACATCTGAGCTGATGTTGTGTTCTCATTGTCAGAGTTGCCCGAGAATGCTCCTCGTTATGTTCTCCTCTCGCATGAACTCAACCATCCTGATGGACGAAAGTCTTTTCCACTTGTGCTGATCAATTGGGCCCCCACATCGAGTGAAATGGGGTTGTTGACGCTACACGCTAGCGCGTTCATTGACTTCCAGAATACGGTGCGTGCATGCTTTGCTGTTGCTACGTGCGATGCAAGCACAATATGCTTATTATCCGCATGGATAACTAGGCCGACGTCAGCAAAGTGATCGAAGTTCGCGAGGGAGCGGAAGGCTTCACCGAGGACTTCATTAACACCAAATTACTGCAGGGCTGATCTGCTGCTGATATATTCTGTATTATATATTATACCTATGGAGAATCTTGTGTCAAGGTACGTGCATATGGTCCATCTTGATGGCTCACGGACTATGGGCCACCGAAGGGCAGTAGTAAATGTAAGCTAGCTATTGTACAACGCGTTGGACATTCCACAAACGGATTGTGTTGTAGCATTACATCCAAATTCTGCTGGACCCCACCCTCATTTTCAAGGAGTGCTCATGCATCTCAGTGTTGTGGGGGGATGTCTCTATTCTTTGAAGACTGTTGTCTATTCAAGACTATGAGCCTCCGTTTATATATTGTCCCTGACCGCCCACCGACATCCACCCACTTCACAGGAGGCGTCCGATGCTTACGCCACGAACCAGACTCGCGCGCACGTCCGTGATTCATGTACTTATTATCTACATAGGGCTCGG